ACAGCAGAAACTGTGCTTTCTGTCCTTCAAGCCCTGAGGCTTTAGGAGAACCAGGTTGTCAGCATTTGGGGGAACAGTGCAGTTACACCAGGCCCCAGTGAGTTGAAAGAGAGCCAGAACTGAGGTGAATCTGTGCCCATGGATAAGTGGGGCAGGCAGGAGGAAAGGATGGTGCTCCAGGTCTCAGGGACTGCGGAAGCGTTGGTGACGGGGTTCCAGCACGTTTGATGTTTGTGGATGAACAAACACGTAATGAAGGCTGTGGAGGCCAGAGGGAAATCACAGTTGTCAGAAGCGTGATGGCCCAGCCAGGAGGTGTGTTCCTGCCAGGGTCACACAAGTCACCGGGAAGGAGGAACATCCCACTAAGAATGACAGCACAGACTAAATTCTTTGTCACCAGAGTGTCTTCAGCAAGAGTCATTGGGAAAATCAAACAATGTTACTTAATGCAGAGATATTATAGGTGCTGTGCAGTCACCCCAACTTTTTTGAAAGGACACTTGTGTCCCATTGGGTCATACCTTGCACCGGTTACTGACCATTTTTATGGCTATGTCCAACGAGAGTGTATCTTCCTTAAGTCAGTATTCCAAATGGGCATTCACTCTCTCCTTTTCTTAAATAAGTCTCTAGAAGGGGTTACTTATCAACTATGGAATTACAGATTTAGGAAATAACAGAAGTAATTAAGATATACTCATTGTACAAAGTTTTTAAAAAGATCCAGAGACGCCCAAAGGAGATCCACAAATCAACTCCCAGATATAATTACTCTTGACACCTCAGTCCGTATCCCTCCAGTCAGACACGCTTGTTAAATCCTCCACGAGTGCAAGATGCAGGGCTTCCAGGCATTTCTGGCTTGGCAAACTGTTACATGCCTGAGGATGTCGAAATCCTCATCACTTAGGGGAATAATTGGTCAAGGCAATGCATTCTACAGACCAAAATTCATTTCTCTGTTGGGTCCAGATCTCTCCCTCTGCGCCGGTCATTGGATTCTAACTTCTTTCAGGATAAAGCTTGTGCCTATTTCTTCCATATGTCAGGGAGCCACTATGGGGCCAGGCCTGTTTAGTGGAAGTTCTCATCTGAAAGCAAAATGGCATATGATGTAGTTCAAGACAGTAAGGAATGTAGGGCGAGGAAGACACGCCCTTGACCCAGAAGAGCTTACAAAGAATTTTTTTTTTTCTGCTTGTGAACCCAGTATACCCTGTGGATCACTGACCGCCTGTGACTTCTTACTCTCACACGATATATAAAAACAAAACTTTTTGGCATGAGAAGGCATTGCCTAGTGTGAGCCACCCAGGAGAAGACATTTGGGTTGTATTAAGTATAAATGCATTGTGTAGTTGTGCCGGTACAGAATTCGTGAGAAAAACCATGGATACAGAAAGATGGAGGCAAGAAAGACCACCCCGTATTTCTCTGAGGACTTTTGAAGACTATTGAGACAATGCTCCAGGAGCCATCAGCTTAGAGAATTTTCGCTGTTTGTTTCCAATTCATTCTCAACTTGAAAGACTTTATTTAAATCTGTTGAGAGTCTGGTGAGCAGTGGCCTCATTGTATACATTCAAGATGTAGGGTAACCCACAAGGATAGCTTTGAAGCTTCCATGTGTTTCTCTGAAGAAGCCATTTGCTTCTGAGGGAAATGGATTCAAAGTCCTAAAAGGTTTTTTAAGATATGGAAAACCAGTTCTATCTATTTATGAAGAGTAATGACATTTTCCAGGAAAAGCAAGGGATTTGGTAACTCATGCTTTCAACGTTAATTCTCTCCTACTCCATGACATCCATACCATTTCAGGGGGGGAAAAAAACACCCTAAGTGTAGCTCAAGGAGTTCTGTTATAATTTTTTAAGTAAATATGTAAATTATTTTGTGTGCACAAGATAAATTGCCGAGAAAATGCACTGCTTAACATAATTTACCACTCAGCAAGCGCAGTGTTTGTAATCATCCACAATGCCTTTGCCATCGGAGGGACATTTGTTTCTTTTCAGGGTATAGAGAAGTTCAGATCATCATACAAGAATAAAACATCTTGTTTTTACTCTTCCAGGTACCGTCATGACCCCCAACTACATAGACTCCAGTAGCCTCAGCGTGGCCCCGTGGTGTGACTGCAGTAACAGTGGGAATGACCTGGAAGAGTGCTTGAAGTTCTTGAATTTCTTCAAGGACAATACGTGTCTTAGTGAGTTTTTTTAAAAAAACCAGAAACGAGCATCCAAACACGCTTTTCTCCCTGAGCTCAAGTTGTAACTCCGTATTTCTTGTATCTGCCTCCCCCGTCTCTTTCTTGTCCCTCGTTTCCCTGATCCCTGATGGTGAATCAAATGCCTTTTGGCCACACCATGTAACGACGCAGCAGGGAACAGAACAAGTGATGAACTGGGTGCTGCCAAGAGAGCAAGAGATTCAAATAACCGAGGGTACATTACGTGGGAAAGAACACTCCTACCCATAGCTCAAATTCTGATCTTGGCAACCAGCACGGAGCCTGTTCCAAAGGTTCTTAAAACCTGGACGCAATATACGATGTGAGGCACTCAGACAAATTAGATGAGAGTGGGCCTCCAAGGGCTGTCTGCGAAAAATTAGAATATTAACATCAGTAGCCCCTTGGATGTTCCGGGTTGGCTCAGAGGACAAGCATCCTTGAGTGAGAGAAGCTGGTGCTGCAGCCAGCAGCCTCGGGATGGTCGGTTATCTTGGGGGACAGGGACAAGCACTCAGGGGTGTGGGTGGGGGACTCCTGCCTAGAAACAGTATCCGTTATGACTTCAGTATCCTTGAGGCAATTGGGAAATGTTTCTTAAAGGGAGAGAGATAGAGAGAAATGAACGGGTATGAACATCAGCTTTCATCAGATGAACTTCAAAAGCTTGGTGCCAGGTCTCCCTTCTATCCACCGAGATCTGCCCGCTCAAGGTGACGACCCAGCTGGGATGCTTGAGTACCTCACTCACATTTAATTGTGGCAGCCACCATGAATTTATTGGGGTGCCTTCAACTCAATGTACAAGGAGTGTGATTTATACATTAGCTCCTTTGCTGTAATCTGTACAAGAATCCTAGGAGATGTAGGCATTATTATCTTCATTTCACAGTTGAGTAAAGGGCCAGTCTTCACTTAGATCGTCTGTGCCAAAGATAGGATCCAAAGGCTGAGTTCCTTCTACAGTCCCCTGCCCCCTGAGGGTTCTTTGTCATGCCTGATATCGAAGGACCCACTGAACAAGTAGATATGCCTGAACATCAGGGACTAGGCGTGACTTCCTGGTGGCAGGTGTGGACCAAGTTTCTAGGAATCAAGGCTTAGTCACCTCCTGTCCTCAAGTTGTGACAATTTCTCCATGATGCCCTGCTGTATCGTGGCTGATTTTTAAGGAATTAGCTAACAATTTACCATGGGCACATGTTACTTCTAAAACCTTCTCACTGTTTCCTTTGTTGACAAGACTAATTTAAGTGATTTGCTCACTACATACTTGAGTCATGTGGCTGTAGCCAAACCATTAAAACTAAAACAAGCTTTTGGATACTTAAGTGAAATTCAAGCTGGCAAAACTAGTCTCAGGATGGTGTCATTCGCCTAGCCTTGAACCTCTTGTTTGGTCTTGCCTTAAAAAAGTGTGTATGCGTGTGTGTGTGTGTGTGTGTGTGTGTGTGTGTGTGTGTGTGTAATATATCTCCTTCTTTACATCTTGCATGCTCTTCTGGCAGAATACAAGATTTAATGAAGATAAAGCAATGACAATAGAGGTCAGCGAGGGAAAGATTATACCCATGCTGGCTGGAAAGCCGCTCCCTCACAAAGAAACTAAGGCTGTCCCTGCTTAATAATATTTCAGTAAAGGAAAGAATAGTCTGGTATCTTATTGCTAATGACTTTCCAATAAAAATAAATGCATTTGGTCTTCAACAGGGACCAAAGCCAGCCAGAATGTTGTATAGTCATTTTATTTAAACTTTGATTAGAAGAGGCACAGCATACCAAAGATACAGGGCTGTAAATTCAGTCTCTCACAAAAGGCCCTGGAGTAGAAAGAATTGGAATTTGTACATTTCGGCCCAAATGCAATAACCCAGTTCTGCTCTCTTCAGATTAACCAGACCTCCCCCAATTCCCCTGTCATAAACAAGACTCCAGCCTATCATTTACTTCTGCTTTTTGGGGGAGGAGACAGTTATTTTTGCACCTAAGTGCGTGACAGATGCGAGGGGAAGAAAGCAGAACGAGCTGAAGGTGGAGGTGACTGTTACTGTCATTCAAGTCTTTCTTCAGATGCCACCTTCCCCTTCCTGGGCCACTTCGTCCAAACTGCCGTCCCCCATTCCCATCCAGTGCTCCCTGTGCCTCACCCCTCTGTCCTTTTCCTCCGAGCACTCCTTACCACCTAATGGATTGTATATTTTACTTATTTGTCTCCCCGCCCATAATGTGACCTCCACGAGGGCAGGAACTTCTGTCTTTCATTGCTGTCAATGATAGTCTTTGCTGCACACCTGGTACAAAGCAGTGCCTGGCACTTAGTAGATGTTCCATTGACATTTGAATGAATGAATGAGCAAATGAACAAAATAAACCAACTCCCCAAGTGCCAGTGCCAACACGCTGGAAAGCACAGGTAGTTCCAATGAATAGCAAAGGGCCTCCTGAATCTGCATGTCTTAACGAGAAAAAGGAAGGTTTAGTTGTTCTTTCGTCCTTGTTCTGGGTCATTCAAGGAAACCAGTCCCCCACATACTCCTTTCGGTATGTTTCACCCACCCATTGAGCCATGTAACGTAGCTAGGGGCATAAAAAGCATCTCTATTAATGTGAAGCTGTTTCTTGCAGCCTAAAAAATGTAAAATTGTAGAAAACAAGTTTCCAATTTTCTGAACTTAAAGGATAACACTTTTAGAACAAAATGTCACTTCTAAGAGGAATAGTAGGCTTAAATTATTCTGTCTTGTGTATCGAAAAATGCCAGCTAAGAGTCATATATTAACAATTTGCACATTCAGGTCCCAAATGGAGGAGTTTGATTTCTTATACAATGAATACGAAATAAAAAAAATTCCTAAATCCAGGCCAAATCCCCGAAGACCTGATTAAAAACTGTTTTTTATTCATTTTGGGCAAGGGAACAACACACAACCAATTTACTCTTGCCATAAAAACAATCTAATCCCATGAAATTGTAATAAGCTTTTAAAGTTTTACATTTTAAACTTTTCTTTTAAGCAGGGCTGCTCCTAACTAATTATGCAGATTTCCTCTGGAAGACTGGGAGCAGAAAGGGGGAAAAAAAGTGATCTTAGTTAAATTTTCACTATATTATTGATGAGCTCTGGGATAGGCTTTTCTTTTAAAGAAATTGGTTGGATTTGTACTGTGAGCAATGCCTAAGCCTCATAGTAGGTGCTCTGTGACAGTGAATGATAGTCTTTGCTGTTTAATTTTACTGTCCAATTAATGTGAACACCACTGAGATATTGTACTTTTTTTTAAAATAGCGCGATAAGGATATTGTACTTTATTTTAAAATAGCACGAATGAGTTTGTGTTTAGTATATGATTTTGATAGGGCACAAAGATGTTCTTGGAAGACGGGACAGTGGTTGTGATCCCAAATGACAGGTCTGAGGCAGGATATCAGAGGGCTCAACCGATGAGTATTCCAAGGCAAGGACCTGGCACGTAAATAGGAACATAATAAGTATGTGTTGCATTTGGAGCATAGGTCAGTGTCCAGCTCAGTGTTTAATGAACAAATTGATTTTTGAACATTTGACCCAAGGTCTGGCTCTCAACACGTGTAGGGCGGATAGGTAGATGAGTTTTGTTCAAAGAAGTCCAGCGCTATAATCAGAATTTCTAGTGGGCCTCTCTGACTTTACGTAGCTTGTCTGTTAATTTGCTGCTTGACTTTGAAATTGGATTTCCTTTTGTTTTATTGCAGAAAATGCAATTCAAGCTTTTGGCAATGGCTCCGACGTGACTGTGTGGCAGCCAGCCCTCCGAGTTCAGACCACCACTGCCACCACCACCACCGCCTTCCGGGTCAAGAACAAACCCCTGGGGCCCGCAGGGTCCGAGAATGAAATCCCCACTCATGTTTTACCACCTTGCGCAAATTTACAGGTAAGAGCGGGGGTAAACTTTCTGCCGCAGCTCACTTCTGGCAGGACACAGAGTCATTTTCTGAGATGCGTTCAGGAGTAAATAGCGATTGATGCTCAAGTTTGAGTCTTCAAAGTGCATTTTAAGCATGACAAATGGAGATTGAGAAGCGCCATAGAGTGGAGAGAAAGATGGACTTTAGAACTGACTTCCAGTGACTAGGGGTGGAACTTTGGTGAAGGTTCCTGTATATCTGCCCTTGGCATCTTCACCTATAATATGGGAGCTGGGTGGATGGATCCTTAATGTTTTTGTTTGTAGGGTGGTAAAGCTGGATCAGGTGTTATTTATTCTGATTATTCTGTGTTCTCTACAAAGCGGCAGCATATTGAAAAGAAAGGGACTCTTGGGTTTGTCCCCATTACTGCCACTTAAACTGAACATGGATTATTTAACTGTCTCTAAAGGGAAACCAGAGACAGTGTTACTAGTGAAGTGTTAGGTCACATGCGGAGTCCTGTACAGGTTTTTTTCTTCAAGAAGCAAAAGAAAATGCTTTTCGGCGGTAGGATGAGCTGTGAGGAGCTGCCCAGCAAACCCTCGCGTGAACAGAGCCCAGCGCGAACGGCCAAGGGGCTTCTTTGGGGTTCATCCAGCCCTCCAAGGGCAGATCCACAATGTACCAACAGGGCCTTCTTGTCTCGAGTCAAAACGGAATGTTTATTCTGCCTTTTTTTTTTTATTTTTATTTTTTTTCATAGCGATGAGTATTCAGCTGTTTGGTAAGACATTACATATTTATATGTTCACAAAGTATTTTCACACGCTTTATCTCTTTGGATGTTATCCTCCTGACAGCTGCGGGAGACATGCTATTATTATGGCACTGTCAGCCTTGTTCTCTCGTTTGAGGACATGGGGGCTCAGCAAGGTAACTTTCGCTCGAGCCTGCGGAGCCAGTGAGTCACAGACCGGCACTGGGGATCCAGGAGCCTCGTGTATGTTTCACAGTTCTTTCTGTATTTGGGGGATAGTGGTGACCACACGGTGACTTCTGCCTCCTTCCATGCTAGAGAAAAGGACTTGTGCCAAGCACCCTGCTGTCACATTTGCCACACTTCACACTTGTCACTGAGGTACATCCTCCTGTCTCTCCATTCACTCCCTGCTAACGATCCATCTCACCAGGAAGCTCACCCGACCCTTCTTCGGACAAATACCGTCCTCACCCACCCACTTTGCTCCCTAGAAAGTATCGGGGCAGTTCCCCCATTTCTGATTTGCTTGATACCTTCTGACTCCAGCATGTCCCCTCTGCTCCTTGGATATCCCCTATGCTATTTATTTGAGCTTTGGTCTCTGTCTTCTGTCCCCCTGGGTCTCCACTCTCCAATACACACCCTCAGCCACACAGCCTAAGGTCAACCAGATGTTCTTCATACTTTAAGGCATTTCTTGAGCATTTCCCATCTCCAAAGCACTGTGCAGAAACTAGGAGGAAGTTTGGGAGGAAGGGTACCATGGCACCTATCTGCTCCATCCTGCATCGGGGCCCTGAGGTTCAGGGAGGGAAAGTGACTTGCACAGAGTCCCCCAGCCAGTCCCCCTAGAGTCAGGCACAGCACCACAGAGAAACAGTCTCTTCTTCAGCTCCGGCCAGTGCTCAGAGTCCCGCTTCCTCCTAGGTCCACTTTTTGTTGTCATTGGGTCCACTCAGATTCCAGCACCGGGAAAGACAAGCAACCAGACAATGGACAGGACCCTGTCATCATAAGGGGATATTAGTGGGACAGAGGTGGTTCCTGGCCAGTGGAAGAGGCCGCCTTTGGCTGCAGCAAAGCCCGATTCTTTTCTGCATGGGCCTAAGTGCACGGAGCGTGATTGCAGAGGCAGCACTCAGCCTATTTATTCAGCTCCTTCCGTGTTCTGGAAATTCCGTGAAGATGGACATTCGAAAACAATTCTCTCCTCGGTGAACTTACAAATAGTAGGCAAGATGCAGCTTGTCAATATTTTTGGAAGGTCAGACTAAGTTAATAGCTGACATCTCAGAAGAATTAGAAACACCACAGAATTAGAGTTTTTCCCAAGAGCAGGAGAGGAGCCTGTCAGTCATAAGGAGGTGGTCGCCTCCCCTGCCCCCAGCCCAGATCACAGCCCCTGACTTCCGCTTCCCACGGTGCTGTGCATGGCTTGGACACACAATATTTTGTCTCCAGTACAGATCTGCCCAAACAGCCCTCTCTGCAAAGAGGACCTTATGTATCCTCTGGCCATGTCAGAGGACACATGAGTGCTATTCCCAAGAAACACAGCTTTCTTTACCCTGTATTAGTGATCAGAACTCTGCCTGATAATAGAGGGAAAATAAAATTAAAGCATGATGTTTATCTCACGGCCACCACTTAACTTTTCAGCAGAGGGGAATGGTGGTGTGGGACTCTCGAGGAATGAGGTGACGGCCATGCCCGTCTTCCCTGTGACACACACACACACACAGTCCACATCTCTCGGAGCTGCATAGCATCTCCCTTGCAGGGAGCCTTTCAGGGAACCTTATCTTGTCTCCTAAGGTGACGACACCTGCTTGAGCCCGTTTTTGCACAGGCGATGCAGGGGGTGAGGGCAAGGGTGTCCTCGTGCCACGGTCCCAGGAGACACGGTGTAAGGGAAGGACTGAAAGTTTGCCAGTAAAACTCTTTGCAGCTTGCTGACCTCTTTAGGATGACTTATGTTAGGAATAGTTGAGCGAATCACTGGA